TTGACTTTGACTTGCGCTCGACGAACGGATAACCGGCAGTTAAATTACAGAATAACTTTGAAGGTTGGAGATGATAAATCATGTCGTCGACTGTCCGATAGCCAAGCGTCGGATTGTTGCTATGCACGGCGATGATGTTCTAATTTCACCGAACAGTAGTCCGATTTCTCTTGACGACAACGAGGTCGGCATTCGTGCATTCTATCCGCCGGAGGATTAACGGCCGTCACAAACCCGATATTGACGCAGGACATCCAGATGTTCGTCTTCCACAAGGAAATCCAGTTTCTACAAGGATACTCATAACTGGATGAGGCTTTGCGAGTCGTAAAACGTAAATCGCTTTCGCGGGATGGGCGGACACGCTGATGCTCGCTAGTTAAAATCAAACTTGCATTGCAACGCGGAACGGACGTGACGGGAGGGAGAAGTGTTTGTCTATGCTGGGGGGCAAACACTATAAAAGATAAGAAAGCGGAATCCACGTTTACCCCGGGTGACGCTCTTGCCAGATGCGTCACGTTGCCAATCTTCTTTCTCCTCCGGCGATGTCGATCCTCATGAACGAGTGGCTGTAAAGCTGACGTTCTCGAAAATAAGGCCAACGCAAAGCACCGTGAACATAAAGGAATTATAAGAATTGCGCGAGCGTGAGAGAGAGGGAGAGAGAGAGAGAGAGAAAGAGAGAGAGAGAGAGAGAGAGAGAGAAGAGGGAAAGAGAGAACAAGCAGATGCTCGCGTAACGACATTATCCGGGGAATGTCTTCAAGGAGACGGCTGCTTCTCCTCCTTTGTCTTCGCTTTCGCTGCATCCAGATATCCAGCGGGGTAGTAGGAGAGCATCCTCTACATCCTATCATACTGATATTCACGTTTACAACAGGAAACAACGTTTCCTCCAGCCACCCACAGTGTATACCAAGAGTTTAATAAATGTGGATACAATGCGAGCCGATATTCATTATTCGTTGAGTCGAGAATAGGTATTTCTTCATTGATTTCGAACGATATAACGCCAGATCAATTTCCAGCTTCATCGGTTTTTAAAAGTTACATAAAACAACTTGGCAACTAAAAGCTATTATTTCTTGTAATTAAAATTTTTAAGAGACAAGATTAATCGCAAAATTGTCAAGGACGACCTTAGAATCGTCATCGAGCGGATGCGGATGCAGAGAATGCATGGACCACGAGAAAGATCACGATACGCGCGATATGCAACGGCAATGAGTCAGATTATGCAGCTGCTTATACCAGCCGGACCTGATAAGGATGACGTATAGGGTGATAGGCGTTAATGTAAATCGCTATAAATTACAATTTCATGACTTCCGCAATTAATTCTCAGCGGGGGAGTCAAGAGCGCCGAGATACGAGAGGGTAGCGAGGGAAGAAATGGACAGACGAAATGTCGACAAAGTTAAGGACTCGTCATAGCTATCGTCTTACGAATTGGGGTCATCGTTAACGCGATTTCTTTTTTTTCTATCATTTTTTTTTTTCATTTCACACCAACCTTCGATGCACCGTGTACCTCCCGTCGGGATTAATAGCGTCGAACGCGCGGCACAAAGGAAACGGGTCGCGGCAATTCGGTCAAATGTATTTTTTCGGAGCTTCGTGTTTTTGACTTCGAGATGCCCGCGTGGACAGTTTCGATTGCGACGCGACGATGCGCGATACCGAAGGGACAAAGTTTCCCAAAAACGCGTGTAGCGGTAAACATCGCGGATGGAACTTCGGCCCACATCGACATTTTATTAGATACGAATGTATCCCAGTTTTGCCGCGTAAGTACATACACATATGTACACATTTGTACACACATATGTACCGCCCTTCTGGAAACGAAAAAGCCACATTCAAATATACGTGTACTTTTTGAAGAGACAGACTCTGGATGCCTCATCAAACTCGAGGTCTGTTGACAGTCGTGTAATAACGCAGAAAGATTCGAGCGTCAAAGATAAAAGATAGCGTCACTGGGATTCCGTTGCTTTACTCTCGGGAGAGGAAGAAATATGCACGAATATGAATTATCTTATCTATTTACAAATCCCTGCAGAAATAAACAATTACGTCGGCGGGAGTACCTCCCTGGACGACGATTGCGCGCCAGCAAGGATTAGGATCAGATTTATCCAAGTCCTTTTGTAATCCCTCAACGCGGACGCTCGAAGTAATAAAACGATGGTTGCGCACCTTGTATACTTATGACGCCATATCGCTTTATTGTACCCAATGAATAGGAGGCTCCAGGGTGCGAGTGACACTACGTCAGGATTAAAGCAGCTTCCAAGGGATGGCAGATTCGCGCGACAGAGAGAGAGAGAGAGAGAGAGAGAGAGAGAGAGAGAGAGG